AAGGCTCCGTCTTACTCATCTCCTGTACAAAATACAAATAAATAAATAAATAGAGAAGGGGAAATAAAGCAGTTCAGATAAATGACCCAATACATCACCTGAGTATAATGGTTTCTGAAATGTTATATACCTGTAATTCCCCATAGCAGCTAGGTAGCACAATGGATAAGCTTTGGGCTTGGAATCAGGAAGACTCCTCTTCCTGAGTTCAAATCCAGCCTCAGAAACTTAACTAGCTGTGTGACCCTAAGCAAGTCACTTAACCCTATTTGTCTCAGTTTCCTCATCTATAAAAATGAGCTGGAGAAGGAAATGACAAATCATTCCTGTATCTTTGCCAAGAAAACTTCAAATGGGGTCATAAGGAGTTGGACATGACTGAACAACAACATAGTTTCCCACAGAAACAAAGAAGGGAAAGAGGTATGTTTTCTTGTTTCTTTTTTCAGAACCAAGCTTAGTAATTATAATTATACAGTGTTCATTTTTTTGTACTTTTTTGTTCTTTTAATTTACATAGTAAAAATTATGAATATTGCTTGCCTGGTTCTGTTTAATTTCACTTTGTATCATTTTAGAAAAGACTTCCAATGCCTGTGTTGTTTATATTCATATTTCTTATGCATTAATAGCCTATTATATTCATGGATTGTAATTTATTCAGCTATCCCCTAATTGATGAACATCTACCTTGTTTCCAGTTCTTTGTTATTACAAAAAGTTCAACTATAAATATTTTGGTATTTATACGGTCTTTCTGTCATTGGCCTTTTGGTGATTATAAACCTAGCATTGGGATTTTTTGGGTAGAAAAGTATGAATATTTTAGTCACTTTCTTAGTTATAATGTTTTTACAATGTTTTTATTGATCTTTTGTTTTTATCATCAGTTTTTTCCAGCATCTCTCCTTCCCCCCTTCCTAGAGAGCCACCCCATATAACAAATAATATTCTTAAAGACAGAAAAGAAAAATAAAAGGAAAAACTCAGCACAACATGTTGAACAAATCCAAAAACATGTGTAATATACACTGTGGACCTCCCACCTCTGCAAAGGGGCTGGTTGGGAACATCCTCTCATATACTTTCTTTCAAGCCATGCTTGCTCTTTATAATTATGCAATATTCATTTTTTATTTCTCTGTGTGTGGCTATTCTTTCTATTTATATTGTTCCAGTTACTGTGTTTAGCATATTGTTTTCTTGGCTCTGCCTACTTCATTCTACATCAGTTCATTTAAATCTTTCCATGCTTCTCTGTATTCATCCCAGGCATTATTTCTCATAGCACGGTAATATTCCATTACATTCATGTACCACAATTTGTTTAGCCATTCCCCATCAATGGGCATCTACTTTGTTTCCAATTCTTTGCTATCTAAAAAAATGCTTCTACAAATATTTTGGTGCATCTGAGGACTTTCATCTTACTGATGACTTTCTTGGGGTATAAACCCAGTAATGGAGTCGCTGGGTCAAAGGATATGGATATTTCAGTCACTTTATTTGCATAATTCCAAACTGCTTTCCAAAATGGTTTTTTTTTACCAGTTGACAGCTTCACTAACAATGCACCAATGTGCCTATCTTTCCACAACCCTCTGAGTATTCCTATCTTTTGTCATCTTTGCCAATATGCTGGGTGTGAGGTGAAATCTCGGGTTTTTCATCTGAATTTCTCGCATTATTAGTGATTTTTAGCATTTTTTCATATGGTTGTTCATATTTTTCTATTCTTTAGAGAACTCTTTTTTCACATCCTTTGACTTATGTATTGGTGAATGGTTATTGTAGACCATAATGTTAGTTCCGGAAGCTCATACTAAAAGGGATATTGACATCTTGTAGGATGTCCAAATGAAGTTGACCAGAATTATGAGATGATTAGAGATTAAGCCATTCAAAGACAGTTGAAGTAACTAGGGATGTTTAGTCTTGAGAAGAATTAGACAGAAGGAATTAGATTTATGTGTCTTCAGAGGGCAGAACTAGGACCAGTAAGTGAGAGTTACAGGGACATTATTTCATCTTAACAAAAGATGTTGGTAAAGTTCTCTATTAAATCATAAGGTGCTCTGTCAATTGTTTTTTTTTAATATAAATTTATTTATTTTTAGTTTTCAACATTCACTTCCACAAGTTTTTGAGTTCCAAATTTTCACCCCATCTCCCCCCTCCCCCCACCCCAAGATGGCATGCATTCTGAATATCCCTTCTCCTAGTCTATCCTCTCTTCTATCTCTGTCCCCTTCTCCTTCTATTTTCCTGTAGGGCAGGATAGACTTCTGTACCCCATTTCCTGTATTTCTTATTTCCCAGTAGCATGTGAAAACTTTTTTTAAACATATGTTTTTAAAACTTTAGGTTTCAAATTTTCTCTTCCTCCTCCCCCCCACCCTCATTGAAAAGGCAAGCAACTCAATATAGGTTGTACATGCGTTATGCAAAACACTCCATAGTAGACATGTTGAAAAACTAACTCTATTTCCCTTAATCCTATCCTGCCCTCCCATTTATTCTATTCTTTCTTTTCACCCTGTCCCTCCTCAGAAGTATTTACTTCTGATTACCCCGTTTCCCAATCTGCCCTCCTCTCTACATCCCCCTGCTCTCTTGTCCCCTTCTCCCCCTATTTTCCTGTAGGGTTAAGACAGCTTTCCATACCCAACTGAATGTGTATGTTATTCCCTCTGTAAGCCAAATTCTATGAGAAAGATTCACTCATTCCCTCTTACCTTCCCCTTTCCCCTCCACTGTGAGACTTTTCTTTTCTTTTTTTTGTGAGATAATTTACCCCATTCTAACTCTCCCTTTCTTCTTCTCTGAGTATAATCCCCTCTCATCCCTTGATTTTATTCACCAGATATGACCCCTTAATCTTCAACTCACCCTGTGCCCTCTATCTATACATATAATTTTTTTCCTCCAACTACCCTAATACTGACAAAGGTCTCATGAGTTACAAATATCATCTTTCCATGCAGGAATGTAAACAGTTCAATCTTAATAAGTCTCTTATGATTTCTCTTTCCTGTTTACCTCTTCATGTTCCACTTGAGTCCTGTATTTGAAAGTCAAATTTTCTATTCAGCTCTGGTCTTTTCATCAGGAATGCTTGAAAGTCCTCTATTTCACTGAATGACCATTTTTTCCCCTGAAGGATTATACTCAGTTTTGCTGGGTAGGTGATTCTTGGTTGTAATCCTATCTCCTTTGCCCTCCAGAATATTATATTCCATGCCTGCGGTCCTTTAATGTAGAAGCTGCTAAATCTTGTGTTATCCTGATTGTGTTTCCACAGTACTTGAACTGTTTCCTTCTGGCAGCTTGTAATATTTTCTCCTTGACCTGGGAACTCTGGAATTTGGCTATAATATTCCTAGGAGTTTTCCTTTGGGGATCTCTTTCAGGAGATCTGTGGATTCTTTCAATTTCTATTTTGCCCTCTGGTTCTACTATATCAGGGCAGTTTTCCTTGATAATTTCTTGAAAGATGATGTCTAGGCTCTTTTTTTGATCATGGCTTTCAGATAGTCCAATAATTTTTAAATTCTCTCTCCTGGATCTATTTTCCAGGTCAGTTGTTTTTCCAATGAGATATTTCACATTGTTTTCTAATTTTTCATTCTTTTGGATTTGTTCTACTGTGTTGTGATTTCTCATAAAGTCACTATTTCCAATTGCTCTATTCTAATTTTTAAGGAAGTATTTTCTTCAGTAAGCTTTTGGACTTCCTTTTCCATTTGGCCAATTTTGCTTTTTAGGGCATTCTTCTTCTCATTGGCTTTTTGGACCTCTTTTGCCATTTGGGTTAGGCTATTTTTTAAGGTGTTATTTTCTTCAGTATTTTTTTGGGTCTCCTTTAGCAAGCTGTTGACTTGTTTTCATGATTTTCTTGCATCACTCTCAGTTTTTTTCCTTACTTCCCTTATTTGCTTCTCAAAATCCCTTTTGAGCTCTTCCAAGGCCTGGGACTGATTCATATTTTTCTTGGAGGCTTTGGATGTAGGAGCTTTGACTTTGTTGTCTTCTTCTGGTTGTATATTTTGATCTTCTTTTTCACCAAAGTAAGATAATATAGTCTGACTCTTTTTGCGCTGCTTGCTCATGATCCCGGCCAATTACTTGAGTTTTAAACTCTTTGTTAAGGTACAAATCTGCTTCCAATGTGGAGAGTGTACTGTCCCAAGCTTCAGGAGTTTGTACAGCTGTTTTCAGAGATACTTGTAGGGACCTGTAAATTTTCAGTTCTTCCAAGGTGGTATGATAAGGGGTGAGGTGTTTACTCCTTTCCTGGCCTGTGACTACAAGTACTCCTTTCTGTCCTGTAACTGTGGGGGGGGGGGTTCCTCTCCACAGCCACTATAAGCTCTACCACGCCAGTGCTCCTCCTCACCCCAGCACCGCCACCCAAAACTGTGACCCAGACCCACACATGGGCAAAGCAAGAGATTCCTGCCTCAGCACTAGCAAAGAGATTCCTGCAATCCCTCTGTAATCAGCCACTAGATTTCCCCTCAGTCTGTGGGCCGGAAGCTCAGGAAGCAGCTGCCCAACCCAGGGCCATGCTCTTGGGGAATGGAGCTGAGACCCCGCCTTCCTTTCTCAGTACCGATAGAAACAGACTTTTCCCACTAACCTTCTAAGTTGTCTTTGGCATTTGTGGATTGAGTCGTCTGGAAACTCCACAGCTGCCCGAGATTCAGTCCTCTGAGGCCTGCTCCAGGTTCGCTGAGGCCTGTGTGCTCACACTGTGCTCCCAGCCCAGAGCGATACACCTTTCTGATCAATCATCCAGGTTGTCTTGGGCTGGAAATTTGTTTCACTCTGTCCTTCTGTGGGTTCTGCTGCTTCAGAATTTGTTTAGCGCCATTTTTTATGAGGATTTGGAGGGGTTTGGAGGACAGCTCAAGCAAGTTACTGCTTTTACTCCATCATCTTGGCTCCCTCTGTCAATTGGTAATGTGATATAATGCTTTAAGGTTTTACATATATAATATCATTTGATCTTCATAACCCTTTAAGATGGGTGGTTATTCTCTCCATTTTACAGATGAGGAAACTGAGGGAGAGGTCTTGCCCAGGGACCTACAGGTAGATAACATCTGAGGCAGGATTCTAACCCATTCTGCCACCTGGCTGTCCAACATTGGAATGGCCTGCCTGAGTTTCTCAGTCTCACAGGAACTATTCAACCAGATTACGACTGATCTATCTGTGGGCATCCACACACCAGGCAGGGAATTATATGGACTAGGATCTTCAGATCAAAGATGGGAAAACCTTGCCAAGTCCACAGTCAAAACCTTTCCAGATGTGCCAGCCTCATTTTCTGGGAACAAAGGGTCATCTTCTGCCACAATGGTGGGGATGAGGAGAAGACTTTAGTAGAAGATGGCTCAATATAATAAACGCTATATTAAAACAGTGATGGGGTGGTGATGGTGGTGTGCCTGGGAGGCTTAAACACCCTCAAGAAAATGAACTCCATCCTTGTTTCTGTGAACCACCATCTCTTTTCTACCTTCCCCACCCCCAAGAAATGACACAAAGATACAACCTGAACACACTTGTTAATTCAGGATTGGGGATAGGGGCCAAGGATGGCATATGGAAGAAGTGGAATCAAGCAGGTTTTGGAGTAGAAATTTAGATATCAAGGTTAGGTCAAGAAGTCAGAGTTGGAGAGGAGGAGGCAGCTCCAGGCTCAGGAGGATCGGTCTCAAAGTACCGGTCCAGCAGCGTCTCCACTTCGTTCTCTTCATAATCCCACACCTGGAATCGTGTTCCATCAGCTGCACCCCGGATCATGGCTGAGAGCACTGGGGAACAGCAGAAGCAGAGGTGAGGCACATCAGTGCCAAATGTTCAGACTGCAGCCCATTCCCGGATCCCCTTTTGGGGAAGGGTCCCTGAGTCACTGTGAGTTTGTGACAGCAGAGCTGGAGATTCCATGTGGACCAGGAATGAGGCCCTGGTACACAGGACTAGGAATAATAGCTGGAAACTAAGAAGAGGCAGAGCTTGACTCTGAGTTGGAACTGCTCACAAATGTCAGGGGCTACACCACAGAGGGGGCAGATCACTCTTCAGGGAAGGTCTTCAAGCAGGCCTGGGAGACCACTTGTCATGGATCTTATAGATGGTATTCTTCATTAGGTACACCACCACCTAGCTCCCTTCCCAACAGTCAATTCTATGCAGATGGCTTTGGGGCTGTGATGAACAAACTGACCCAAGCTGCCTGGACCTCCCCTTATGCTCCTGTCCCCTCAGGAAGGTAGGAATGGATGGCAGGGCAGAGCGGCACTCACCTCGGCCAGACTGAGGGTGAAAGAGGCACAGAACTCTCTTGTTGAGGGCCACGGCCCGGCCCAACTCATAGCCAACACCTAAGGAAGGCTGGGTCACTTCAGCCACCACCACTACAGGGAGACAAGCAGATGATGAGCTGGCCTGAAGTCTCTCTAGTTCTTGTATGGAAGCAGACAGGGCTAGAGACTGCATAAGAAATGATACCGCATGTGTACAATTAAACTTAAAGCAGGACTATTATTCTTGTGGAAAGGTGTGTAGACAGAACACAGTCAACCTTGGAGGGAAAGGGTAAGAGATTCCTTGGACATGAGGGTAGAAAAATCCAAGAAACCTCTACCTTGTGCTTTCAAGAACTAGGAATCCAAAGGCGGCAAAACTCACCATCTGCCTGCTGCAACCAAGCCAGTTCTCGCTCATGAATGAGTCTGTCACCCCCTGCTGCCTCTTCCCCTGCAGAGATTGGGTGGACAAGGAGTCAGCTGAGTAAGGAGGCAAACCCACTCCCACCCTGTCCTTGGGTCCTTCTCCATTCATTATCCACAATCCCACTCAGTTTTCTTTTTTTTTTTTAAAGTTATACATGTACAATCACATTAAACATATTTCCACATTAGTCATGTTGTGAGAGAAGAATTAGAACAAAAGAGAAAAACCAAGAGAAGGAAAAAAACAAACAAAAAGGAAAATAATATGCTTCAATCTGCCTTCAGACTCCATAGTTCTTTCTCTGGATGTGGATCGTATTTTCCATCATGAGTCTTTTGGAGTTGTCTTAGATCATGGATTGCTGAGAAGAGCCAAAGCTGGTCATCGCACAACGTTGCTGTTACCATGTACAATGTTCTCCTGGTTCTGCTCACTTCACTCAGCATCGTTTCATGTACCCACTCAGTCTTTTTCACCCCACAGTCATTCACTATCAACAGGGTTAGAGTAAGAGTGAGAAGTTGGGTTGTGTGATTTATAAGGTTCTTTCTAAACTGAAGATTGTATGAAAAATGTTCACTAAGAATCCACTACGTGCTAGATTCTATCTAAGAGAGAGATTTATGGGACTGAGTTCCTGTACTCCACTCAGAGAAAGCACAATAAACGAAGAATGGGACTTTAACTGGACTTTGAAAGATGGTTAAGAAACAGATATATACAGTGGGGAGAGCATTCCTATTGTAAAGGATAGTATAAGCAAGAAAACTGGGGTGAGACAGGCAGAGGGGTGGGTCAAAGTGAGTCTCATTAAAGTGAGTTCTTTTTGATGGAGAATGGGAGATACAGCTACTATATATTGTGGGAAGCCTTGAGCGTCAGGCTAGGGAGTTTGAATTCCATTCTATAGGCAGTAAAGGAAATTTCTGAGCAGGGAAATAGGCACAGTATCAAAGTAGTATCTCAGGAAAATTAAACCAATGGATTGAAGGAGAAGAAACAGGATACAAGAAGGCTTACAAAGGAGTCTATTCCAATACTTTAAGATAGAAATGATGGTCTTAGGGTGGCAACTGCATTAATGGAAAGGAAGGCATGATATCATGGACACTTGGAAAGAAAAATCAAGTAGATTTGTCAGCTGACAATGTGGAGGGCAAGGAAGAGGTTAAGAATTAAAAGAGGGCTCTGACTGACCAACAGTTTCAGAGTCTGTGATCCTAGCAAAACACAGGAGAGAAAGGTACTTCAGGCAGTTGGAAATGTGGGGTGGCAGGCTATGAGAGGTTAAGGAGGGCTGGAGATACAGCCTTGGAACTCATCTGTATATATAACTGATTAAAGTCATGGCAGTGAATAATATTTCCAAAGGCTAGTGTAAAGAAGATCAAGGACAAAGCCTTGAAGGATATCTACATTTAAAGGGTGATAGATAGGAACTTGCAAGGGAGAACTGTAAAGACTAGAAAGAGGTAGGGAGGAAAACCAGTATGGTGCCTCAGAAGCAAAGAGTGTCCAGAAAAGGAGGCTGATCAACTGCATAATGTACTACAGAGAGGTGCTGAAGAATAATAACAGAAAAAAGGCTATTGGATTTACATCTAATATAATAATCACAATGAGAGAGCAATTATCAAAAGAAATCAATGTGGCTATACACGGAGCTCTCTAATAAGCTGTTTTAAGACAGATATATGCACAAAAGATGGAAAGTATGATATGTCACCAAAGATACTGAGAAAGACTTAAGAAAAAGAGTATAATGTTAGCAGATGGCAAAGAGACACATGGAGAAGGACCTTGGGGAGGCTTTTTCCAGGACACTAAATGGTCCTAGATAAACAAAAAACAGCCATAATGGTCAAAGAGCTCAAAATCATACGATTCAGGGCTCTCTGCTGAAGGAACTAAATATAATTAACCTGGAGAAGGGAAGGCTTAGGGAAAACATAACTAAAATTGAAAGGCTATCATATAGAAGATAGATTAGCCTTTTTCTTTTTGGTCTCCAAAAGGCAGAACAAGAAGAAATGGGTGCATGTTGAGGAAAAGTAGATTGCAAGTCAATATAAGGAAAAAAACTTCCTAACAATTAAAGCAATGAGCAGCATAGGCTGATTTTCACCATCACTGGATGCCTTCAAGTAAGGTTAAATGACTACTCATTGAAGGTGTTGTAAAGGTATAATAGTGGGTGTGACTACATGACTTCGGAGGTTCTTTTCAAAACTGTTATGCTTAGATTTTATTATAAAATTACACTATTCCTACTTTGTTTCTGACTATTCTGGAAATAGTCACTGAACTGTAAAAAAGAAAAAGTTAGAACTGTTCTGACAAACATCACTATGAGATAATTGAACCCGAAGATAATTGAGGGAGTAGAAAGGCAATTAAATCCCAGTGTACAGAAAGAATTTATAGATGTGGTTGGTGAATTAGTGTGAGCAATCTTTAAGACTAACATTGAAGAGAAGAGCTCAATGACCGGAAACATGCAAACGTCTTAATTTTCAATAAAGGGAAACACATACATCACTGAAACAACTAGCAATCTGATGTTATGGCCAACAAAATTAAAGAATGGATTTTTAAAGAGTGAGTTTGTGAGTCTCTGGAAAGGCAGGTGGTGATTACCAAGAGCCATCATGGGTTCAGTAAGAACAAACTATATCATATTAACTTCACTCCTTTTGTGAAAGGGTCACTGGTCTGGTGGCCACTAGACTATAAGCTCCTTGAGGGCAAGGACTGTCTTTTGCCTTATTTTGTATCCCCAGCAATTAACACTGGCACACAGTAGGTATTTAATGTCTATTGACTGATTGTAGAAAGCAGATTTTAAGTCAGTATATGGAAAAAAAATTTCCTTATTTTACTATAAGTACTTTACCCAGGCAGAGGGATTGGGCCATGAGGGCCATAGGTTACCTCACTTCTTCCAGTCCCCATTTACTAATAATAGCTAACTACACTACATACATATAGCACTATGTGCCAGGCACTGTGCTAAGGGCTTTAAGAATAATAGCTAATATTTATATAACACTTACTACATGCCAGGCATTGTTCTAAGAGATTTACAAATTTTATCTCATTTGATCTTCAACAACCCTGGGAGGTAAGTGCTATTATTATCATCCCAGATGAGGACCGTGACTTGCCCAGGGTCACCCAGCTAGGTAGTCTCTGAGGCCACATTTGAACTCAGGTCTTCCTGATTCCGGGTCTGAGGCTCTACCCACTACCACACCCAGCTGCCTCTTACTGCTCAGACATCCACTGCCCTGGAGGCCTTGCAGGGATCTCAGGTTAACCCACCCTCGGATCCAGCCCAAGACTCGGCGCACGAGCCCAGGCCCCTCCCCCAAACTAAGAATCTCTCACTTGGCAGATCAGACTCCGCCCCACGACCGCGCCTACGGCTAGGCCCCGCCCCCCTCTCCGCCACCCAAGGCCCCGCCCCCTGCCATGCACCGCCCCGAAGCGTCCCTCCCTTCTCCCCTCCCCCCGCCTTGCCGCACTGGGACTAGTTCAGACCCTGCCGTCTGCCCCCGGGCCGGCCTCTCACCGCGCGCGCCCAGCTCGGCGGCCGCCACGTGCTCTGTGAGCACCGTCCCGAAGCGCCGCAGTTTTGACACGATGCGCCCGTAGAGAGCCCGGTCCTGCCTCCCGCCTCGGATGCTTCCGCAGAAGTACAGGCCCCGCCGGCCCAGCTACCCCGGCTCCCCGGGCTCCCGCGGCTCCGCCCCAGGGCCTCGCTCCCCGCTCCGCTCCCGCCCCGGAGCCGATGCCGTCGCCATGCCGCCTCCGCTAGGCCACCTACAGGCTCCGCCCGCCGCGTGAGCTACGGCACCGCCCCGGGGCGCACGTGACTCCCCGACACGTGACCAGGCAGCCCGGGGGCCCTACCTCTACCCCAACCTCCCCCCCCTACTGTGAGTGTTAGAGAGGCGGGGTAGGGGGCCGCCCTAGGAACGTCCCCGCCCCCGGCTACGCCCTGCGACCGTCACAACCACTAGCGCGCTGACACCTGCGTCGTAGTCTCCGCGGGGGTGCGCCCGTGCACAGCCCGGGGCTGTGGTGCGACCGGGTTCGACTCGCTGAAGTTCAACCCTTCAGGCGCGACCCTGGCCACGTCATCCCTTAGCCTCTCTTAGCCTCATTTTCCTTATCTATAAAATGGGGTTAGGGCCGCTAGTTAGATAGAGCCACGGCCTGGAATTATGAAGACCTGAGTTAAAATTTGGCCTCAGACACTAGCTGTGAGACCCTGGGCAGGTCACTTCACTCTACCTCAGTTTCCTTGTCTGTAAAATGAGCTGGAGAAGGAAATGGCAAACCACTCCAGTATCTGCTATGAAAACCCCAAATGGGGTCACAGACTGAAAACGACTAAACAAACAACAAAATGGGGACAATAAAAACACCTGTTTTTCAGTCATTTAAGTCATGTCCAACTCTCCGTGACTCCATTTGGAGTTTTCTTGGCAGAGATACTGAAGAGGTTTGCCATTTCCTTCTCCAGTTCATTTTACAGATGAGGAAACTGAGGCAAACAGGGTTAATTGACTTGCCCAGGGTGACACAGCTAGTAGGTGTCTGTAGGTAGAGGGCATTGCAACCCTTAATCTTCTCAATAGAAATCACAGTCATGGAATTTTAGAGTTCAAGTGGGAATTCTCTGGCCTACTATTCTCCTTAAAGGCCTCCCCTTCTATGACCTACCCCATCCAGTTTCTGCTTGAAGACCTCCAACAACGGGGGAAACCATGCCCTCCCTAAGGCAGCCTGTTTTATTTTTGGACAGCTGTCATTGTTAGGAAGTTGTTGTGTTGGGTTTTTTTTTCTGACACCCATACTGAATTGGTGTCTTTGTAACCCTCACCCATTGTTCTCTGTTCTTTCCTCTCCAGTCCAAATAGAACAAGTCTATTCCCTTTTTCATGGGACAGCCTTACAAATACTAGAAGAGAGCTATCATGTATTACCTGACTATTCTGTTCCTCAAGCCCCACAACCACAATTTCTTCAACCAGTCCTCCGACAAGGAGGCAAGACCTTTAACCATCCTGGTTGCCCACCGCTAGACACTTCCCAGCTTATTAATAGTGTCGTTCCTAAATTGCAAGGGCCCAAATATGTGAAGGCAGCTAGGTTATTTGTGGGATAGAGTGCTAGGCCTGGAGTAAGGAAGACCTAAATTCAAATCCTGTGTTACCAGGCAAGTCACTTAATCTTGTTTGCCTTAATCCACTGGAGAAGAAAATGGCAAACCACTTCAGTATGTTTGCTAAGAGACAGGGTCACAAAGAGTCGGACATGACTGAACAACACATTCCAGGATCTGTGTTAAGCACTTTATAAATATGATCTCCCTTGATCCTCACAACAGCCCTAGGAAGTAAGTGCTATTATCATCTTCATTTTACTAGATGGGGAAACTGAGGAGGTAGAGGTGAAGTGACTTGCCCAGGGTCACACAGCTAAGAAATATCTGAGGCTGGATTTGAACTCAGGTCTTTGTGACTCCAGGTCTAACACTCTATTTACTGTGCCTAACTCCCTATCACATTCTTATTCTTGAAAGCTTTGCTTCTCAAAGCCCAAAATGGCATTAGCTTTTTTGGCTAGCACATCACGCTCCTCCTCGTTTGAGCATATACGATACAAAACAACTCCCAGAGCTTCTTCAAATGAATTATTGTCTAACCATTCTTCACCTAGCTTGTATTTATGAAGATGATTTTTATACCCAAGTATAAGACTTTATATTTATCTGTATTGAGTTTCATCTTATTAGACTAATTTAATGCTCAAGCCTGTCATTTCTATTATTATCATGGTGACAAGTATAGTACAGTGGAAAGAGTTCTGGATGTGGAGTCAAGACTTGGGTTCAAATCCCAGCTCTGGTACTACCTGTCTGACCTTGCACAAATCATTTTATCTTCTCTATGTCTCAGTTTTCTCATCCATAAAATGAGGAGGCTGGTACTAGATGACCTCTAAAGTCTCTCTCTAGCTCTAAATCTATTATCTTATAATCCCATGGATTTACTCCTATGTGGACCTCAGTTTCCTGATCTGCAAAATGAGGAAGTTTTGAAAAAACTTGCAGATCTGCGAAAAAGTGAAGGACCAAAATTCTAAAAATTCTGTAGTTCTGTGAATCCATGCTAAAGAGACACACACAAAAAGACACAATATAAGGAAATGGAGAATATACACAGAGATGAAACTGTGACATATCCATAATTACAACTCACATTTAGACAGTGCTTTAAAGTTTACAGAGTATTTTCCTCACAATAATCCTATGGTATAGATTATTTAATGATTCCTATTTTAACTTTTGCTTCAATACTTTAAGGTTTTGTCATTTCATTCCTGTGGATGTTTCCTCCACTGGTCAAGATCATTACTACTCCTCCTTGTTGTGGGGTTCGAGCAGTAGAGTGATTTGTGGAGTATTGCAGCACAAGGGAGAGGCTAGGCATCAGATCAGAAGGAGGTCCCAGACCCATACCTGGGCACTGAGAACAAGGGGCAGGAGGTATCAGCTTGCAGGTCCCCAGCCTGAGGTGTCCCTGAGATCCTGTAATAACACAACACTGAGTACCCTAAGAAAGCAGCAACAGGAACGGTCCAGACCTTCCCTTCAGAAGTGCAGAAAGCCCAGCCCACTATCAAGTCTGAAGTTAGTAAGCCAACTGGAAGAAAGAGCAAACACAAAAAAATTCCATTATAAAGAGCTATTATGGTGGCAGGTGTGCTCAAGACACAAACCCGGAACAGAATGACTCCAAAACATCTACAAGTAAAACCTCAAAAGAATATACAGCTTGGGTACAAGTTCACCTAGAATTCCTGGACAAGCTGAAGAAAGATTTTTTTTAAAGAAATAGTTAAAAATGTTTTTTATCAATGAAATGAGAGCTCTAGAGGAAAAAATGGAAAAGAAATGAGAATTATGAAAGAAAGAATTGGAAAGGGAGTTACTAGCTTGCCACAAGAGGCAAAACCTTGTCCAAACAACAAACCTCCCTGAAAATTAGAATGGACCAAAGAGAAGCCAGTGATTCCATGAGGCAACAAGAAATATTATAATAAGTCAAAAGATTGAAAATATGAAAGGTAAGGTATCTCTTAGCAAAAAACAACTGACTTGGAAAAAAGATTGAAGAGAAAAATTTAAAAATCACTGCACTGCCTTAAAGCTATGCTCCCCCTCAAAAGAGCCTAGATATCGTATTTTAGTGAATCTTAAAAGAAAACTGCCCAGATCTCTTAGAACCAGAGGGCAAAATGAGAATAGAAATAATCCACTGGTCACGTCCTGAAAGAAATCCCAAAATGAAATTTGGAAAGACATTATGGCCAAAATTTGGTTTCCAAGTCAAAGAGAAAATACCTCAAGCAGCCAGAAAGAAAGAATCCAAGTACGAAGGAGCCACAGTCAGAATTACACACAATTTCGTAGCCACCACTATAAAGGAGGAGTGAACCTGGAGTTTCAGAAGGCAAAGGATGTATACTTACAGCCAAGAATAATTCACCCAGCAAAACTGAGTAGAATTGGCAGAGGTGGGGGTTGGGGTGGGGAGGGGGAGAATTGGATGTTTAATGAAATAGATGACTCCCAAGCATTCCTCACAAAAAGACCAGAGCTTTGTAGAAACTTTGAAGGTCAAACAGAGGAGTGAAGAGAAACATAAAAAGGTAAACATGAATAAACAGTCATAAGGGAATAAACAAGGATAAACTGCTTTCTTCTAGTATGAGGGGATAATAACATGTGTCCCTTCTGAACCATATTATCATTAGGCATAACAGAGGGAGTCTAATTAGACAGAAAACCTGGGATTGGTTCTGTTATGTCCTGATGATCTTGAAAGGAAAATGGAAAGAGAGGGGAAGAGGAATACACTAAGTGGAAAATGGAAAGGAAGGTGAAGGAAAATTATCTCACATAGTTGAGGTACAAAAGTAGAAGTCTATACAAATAAGGAGTGGGACTAACACTTGAACCTCTTTTTCATCTGAAGGAGGGAGAGATAAACATATACAAACATTTCAAGTAAAATACATTTCACTTGACAGGGAAAAAGGAACAGAAAGGGGAGAAGGGGAAATTGGAAATTAGAAGGAGCATGGTTTAAGGGAAGGATTAGTCCTAAGGGAAAAAAAATACTAAGGATGTACACAAATTTTTATAGCTCTTTTTGAGGTGGCAAAGAATGGGAATCTGAGGAGATACCATAAATTGGGGAATGGGTGGACAAGTCATAGTTTATAAATGTCATGGAATGCTATCCAGCTGTAAGAAATGAAAATGAAAGAGATGGTTGTAGAGAAACCCAAGGAGACTTAAGTGAATTGGTGTGGAGTGAAGGAAACTGAACCTGGAGAACAATCTATTTATTTAGTTTTAGTTTTCTACATTCACTTTTATAAGATTTTGAGTTTCAAATTTTTTTCTCCCTCCCTCCTTCCCTCCCCCTTCCCCAAGACAGCAAGCAATCTGATACAAGCTATATACATACAATTATATTAAACATATTTCCACATTAGTCGTGTTGTGAAAGAAGAATCAGAAAAAAAGGGGAAAACCACAAGAAAGAAAAAAAAGAGAAAATAGCATGCTTTGATCTGCCTTCAGACTCCATAGTTCTTTCTCTGAATGTGGATAGCATTTTCCAGCATGAGTATTGGAATTGTCTTGAATCATTGCATTGTTGAGAAGAGCTAACTTTATGATAGTGGATATGGTACAATGTTGCTGTTACTGTGTACAATGTTC